TTTTTTTTTTACAATAATTTACGACTTTTATACAAAATATATGTATGTTTTGTATTATTTATTATAAATTAGAACTATATAGAGTTTCAGAAAATACAAGTTAAATGGATCTTTCTAAAGAGTGTTTCAGGACAAAATTGGGGGTCGGAGTACGTCAGATGCGTCAGGTGGTACATTCTTGAACGTTATTTTTTTTATTTATTATATATATTGTTATTGTTAGACAATATAAAATGTGTATAAAATACAATTTTTTATATATATTACTCTCTTTATTTATTGCAACAGGACAACATAAGCGTCGTTTAGTACCAACTTATAAGCCCACTCAAAAAGCGACTAATAGCATCTTTATCGATCTCACGCATGATGATGGGGATATTGGTAATGAGAGAACTGATGGAACTATCCCAGCAAGTTCTATTATTGATCTCACGCTTGATAGTACAATTCAACCAAGCACAGAAAAACGAAAACGTGGTCGTCCTAGGAAAACTACTAGACAATCTTCAGTAGTATCTGGTAATTTTAATTATGTCTTTTTAATAGACAACATAATTTATTCATAAAAAAAATGGTTTTATAACATTTTTATATGCATAAACATTTACAGAATATTGGGACATGGGAGATGCAAGCTTTCGTTGTATGTACTGTGGTGCAAGTTTTTGGTATGACGAGAGAAAAGGTTATCATCAAAAAGCAGTTGTGCCTGAGTACACCGGTTGTTGCACGAATGGCAAAATTCAGCTCCCTCTTTTGAAGAATCCTCCCCAATTTTTGAAAGATTTACTTAATGGAGATGACCAATTAAGCAAACATTTTCAAGATAACATAAGATCATACAATAGCATGTTTGGCTTTACTTCTTTGGGAGGAAAGATAGATTCAGATATCAATAAGGGGACTGGGCCACCGGTGTTTCTTTACATGGACAGAATTACCATCTAATTGGTAGTTTGCTTCCTTCTGAAGGTGCTTCGCCAAAGTTTGCACAATTGTATATATATGATACAGAGAATGAAATTTCTAACAGAATGAATGCTGTGAGGTACGAATTTGAATAGGTATTTTTATGCAAACTTAAATACTTCATCTATTATTTAATTTAATTGTTTCTTCATTAGAACATTTACATATATAGCTTTGTAAAGTTGTACATTAAACTTACATATATTATATATTTATGGACGTGCAGGAATGGATCTGGAAGTAATAATTTGCATGAGGATATTGTTGTTGGATTAAAACAAATGTTAGACCAACACAACGAATTGGTCAAATCATTTCGTATGTCCAGAGATAGGATGCGAGAGCTTGGAGAATCAAATGTTCGAGTGCGTTTGATTGGTAGGAGATACAAAGATGCTAGGCAATATAACTTGCCTACGAGTTCAGAACTTGCTGTACTTATTGTTGGCGATTTTGACCAGGCTTTGGGTGAAAGGGAGATCTTGGTAGAAACTATGAGTGGTCATCTTCAACGGATTAATGAACTAAATGCTTCCTACCTGGCATTACAATATCCTCTTTGGTTGCCTTATGGTGAAGATGGGTACAGAGAAGACATACCTTTTAGGGAAGGCACGCCAGTAAGACAAGATGGTCGAAAACATGTCAGTGTAAGGGAGTACTTTGCATATAGAATGCATGATCGAGATCATGAACCTCCGACCATTGTTTCTTCCAGAAGACTATATCAACAATTTATTGTTGATGCTTATACCATGGTTGAATCTGGTAGGTTGCGATACATATGTCTTAATCAGAAGAAGCTCCGTTGTGATTTGTATAATGGTGTGGTTGAGGCCGTACTTCGTGGCGACACTGATCCCAATACCATAGGAAAGAGAGTTATTCTTCCTTCATCATTCACTGGTGGTGCTTGAAATATGATTGAAAATTATCAAGATGCAATGGCAATTTGTAAATGGGCTGGGTATCCCGATTTGTTTATTATATTCACCTGCAATCCCAAATGGCCAGAAATTGTTCGTTATCTCGAGCCGAAGAAATTGCGAGCTGAGGATCGACCAGATATCGTGTGTAGGGTATTTCGAGCTAAACTTAAGGAATTGATTTGGGATTTCTGTCAAAAGCAAATATTTGGAAAGATAATAGCAGGTGAGACATTTAATATTCTATATAATTATTATAGTCATTTATTAATCATCGACATAATATTTATTTATCTTTTTTCAACTTTTTAATTTGTATTTATAATGATAACTAAATTGTATTTCCCTTCTGTATTGATTTATTATTATTATTATTATTTTTGCAGTTATATACACAATCGAGTTTCAGAAACGTGGATTACCGCATGCTCATATATTGTTATTCCTTTCGAAAGAGTGCAAGTTTCCCAACCCATCGGACATAGACAGAGTTATATCTGCAGAGATAACAGATGAATCTTCTGATCCTCAATATTACGAGGTCGTAAAGAAGCATATGATCCATGGGCCATGTGGTTTGGCCAAAAAAGACTCGCCGTGTATGGTGGATGGAAAATGCACCAAAAGATTTCCTAAGAAGTTTGTTGACTCCACAACAGTTGACGAAGAGGGTTATCCACGGTACAGACGTCGTGACAATGGAAATTCTATAGAAAAGAATGGTATTGTCGTGCACAACGGTTTTGTCGTGCCTCATAACCGGCGTCTTCTTATGAAATTTGGAGCGCATATTAATGTTGAGTGGTGCAACCAGTCAGGATCTATAAAATACCTATTCAAATATGTTAACAAGGGTAATGATCATGTGACTGCATCATTTTATAAAACTTCTGCCGAATCGGACGTCGAGAGACCATTGGATGAGATAAAAATGTATTATGATTGTCGGTACATTTCGTCGTGTGAGGCAGCATGGAGGTTGTTCGGTAATGAATTGCAGTACAAAAAACCTCCCGTCCAGCGCCTGAATTTCCACTTATTTGGAGAACAAAACCTATTCTTTGACGATCAAGGAAATCTTCTAAATGTTCTCGGTAAACCCACTGTTGATCAGAGCCAATTTCTTGAGTGGTTTGAGGCAAATAAAAAATATCCTGCGGCGAGAGAACTAACGTATGATGAGGCCCCGTCCAAGTTTGTCTGGAATACAACAATCTGGCAGTGGACTCCTCGAGCAAATGAGGACCAACCCTCTGTAGGTCGTTTGCGGTATGTACCGCCTGGGTTTGGAAATAATTATTACTTGCGATTGTTGCTTACTGTGGTGCGTGGGGCAACATGTCATGAGGACTATATGAAGGTCTATGAGGTCCAATATGTAACGCATCGTGATGCTTGCTACGCCCAAGGTTTGTTAGAGGACGATCGAGAGTATGTAGATGGCATAACCGAGGCAAGTCAGTGGGCATCTGCAGACTCCCTTAGACGCATGTTCGCATCATTGTTGGTGTCCGGTTCATTTGGCAGACCAGATGACGTATGGAATAAGTGTTGGCAATGTATGTCTAACGTCATACTGTACAGACAACGTCGATTGTTTAATAACCAAGGTAATCATACTTTTCATATATCCATATCTATATTATTAATGAATGATTTTCAAGGTTATATACATTTTTCTAATAAGATTTAAATTGTGTTGATTTTCATTCATTTTTTTGTTATAGATTTGCTCCTTACTGAGGAACAAATTCAAAATCTTGCTCTTGCTGAGATTGAGACTTTGTTGAGACGTCGTGGTATAAGTCTTTGAGAATATGAGCCTATGCCATTTCCGGATAGGGATAGCATGCATTCAACTTCGAATCGTCTGATATTAGATGAGTTGAATTATGATCGAAAGGCCCTCGCCATTGAACATGATACGCTTCTTCAAAACATGACAGATGAACAGAAGAGTGTCTATGCCAGAATTATGTCTACTGTTCAATCAGGCCAAGGTGATGTGTTTTTTGTATACGGTTATGGTGGAACTGGGAAGACTTATCTGTGGAGGACCTTATCTGCTGGTTTGAGATCCAAGGGTAACATAGTCTTATGTGTCGCATCTATCGGAATAGCATCTCTTTTGCTGCTAGGTGGACGAATGGCGCATTCTCGATTTGCTATACCATTGAATCCACACCAGGAATCTACTTGCGATATCAATCAGTCGAGCCCTCTGGCGGAATTGATAATTCGTGCTTTTCTAATAATATGGGATGAGGCGCCAATGATGCACAAACACTGCTTCGAAGCTGTACAGACATCTCTGCAAGATATTATGAGAGTAATTGACCCTTCAAACAAGGAAAAACCTTTTGGCGGGAAGACTGTTGTTTTTGGTGGAGATTTCCGACAAATCCTTCCGGTCATTCTGAAGGGTAGCCGTCAAGACATAGTTAATGCTACCATTAATGCTTCTGACATATGGAGAAGTTGTATTGTGTTAAGGCTTACAAAATATATGCGTCTCCGCGGACTTCAAGATTCAAATGAACGTGACGAGCTCGCTCGGTTTGCGGATTGGATAGCTAGCATTGGAGATGGCACTATAGGGGGGTCGAACGATGGTTGTGCAATGATTGACATACCCGAGGACATTTTGCTGGAGCCATCTGATGATCCCGTTGCTCAAATTGTTGAAAGCACGTATCCAATGTTTAAGGAGGCCACCGACGATCCAAGTTATTGAAGGACAGGGTTATATTAGCGCTGACTTTGGATGTTGTCGATTCTATCAATGAGTACATGACATCTTTGAATTTTTCGGATGGTCGTACTTACTTGAGCTCTGATAGTACGTGCAAATCAGATTCTAATAATGACTTTTTGCCTGATCTGCATACGCCCGAGTTTTTGAATAGTATTAAGTGTTCTGGAATACCAAATCATGAGTTGTACTTGAAGATTGGAACTCCGATCATGTTGTTGCGGAATATGGACCATTCTATGGGTCTGTGTAATGGAACACGATTGGTAGTGACGAAGCTCTCCACTCATGTTCTCGAGTGTAAGATACTCACTGGCGATCACGCAGGTGATAAAGTGTTGATTACAAGAACGGTTATAACTCCATCTGATGTTAGAATTCCTTTCAAGTTCCAGCGTCGTCAGTTTCCCATTATGGTCTCCTACGCCATGACTATAAATAAGAGTCAGGGACAATCATTATCTCATGTTGTCTTATTTCTTAAAAAACCAATGTTTAGTCATGGCCAGTTGTATGTTCTGTCTCCCGTGTCACTAACAGAAATGGTTTGAAAATCTTAATTTGTGGCGATGATGACGTGCCAAAGAATCAAACCATGAACGTTGTGTATAAGGAAGTGTTTAATAATATATAGATTAGTTTTTCACAACACTATTATTAATGACATGATTTTTCTGTTAGTAAGTACTTTGAATTGTAACTGATAATGGGATTTTAAA